CTTTGAAGGTAATATATCTTTTAGCTTTTAACATTTTTCTTTTGTCTTTGTGTTCAGCATCTTGACTATGATGTGTTTATGTGTATTTCTCTTTGTATTTAGAAGTTCTTAGAGTTTCTTGAATGTGTTACTTATAGACTTTTGTCAGTTTTGAAAAGGAACACAGCCATTAGCTTGTCAAATATTGCTTCTGTCCATTTATCCCTCTCTTTAATCTCAGGGACTCCAATATGTTAGATCTTTTCACAAGATCCTATGCATCTCTTACTCTCTTATCTGTTTTTCCAACCTATTTTTCTTCATATTTCTGTCTGATATTTTCTATTAACAAATCTTCTAGTTGACTAATCCTCTCTTCAGCTACAAGAAATACGTTGCTAAACACATCTATTAAGAAGCTTTAGTTATTGTGCTTTTTAGTTGTAGAATTTCCGTTTAATTCTTTTTTAGCAGATTCCAGTTCTTTGGTAAAATTCTCCATCTTGTCGTCTTTCTTCTTGTACAAAATAAACAGTTACTTTTAAAATCTATGTCTGATAACTCTAACATCTGAATTACCTAGGGGCCTATTTCTATTGTCTTTTTTTCCCTCTTAGTCTTAGCTCTTGGAATGTCTAATAATTGCTGTTTGAATGATAGCATTTTGTGTAAAAATTGTAGTCTCTGGATGATGTTATTTTCCTCTAGAGAAGATCTACCTTATCTTTTCTGCGAGTAGCTAGGGTAGGAGGAGATTACATCCATCCCATCCAGGGCTTAGCTTATTGGGGATCAGCTTAGAGTTTTTGGAAGGTTTGGCCTACCTTGTGTTTGCCTCCTCTCCTTAGGGACTAGATCTTCAGAGTTCCAAACGAGAGAGGCTTTAGGTATTTACTAGGACTCCTCCTTCTCAGTGGTTTCTAAACTTGAGACTGCCACAAATTTGGCTTTTCTTTATAGCTACACTCTCATCTTCATATAGCTTAAGAATTAGCAAATCCCATAATATGAAATCAAGTGCTGAGTGTGTGGATCATTTCTTTGCACCTCCTATCTCTCAAGGATCTTTCCACTCAAGCCCTGGCTGTCTTGGCAGCTCTGAATGCCTTTTAAGAGCTTTCCTCATTATATCTAGGTTTTAACTTCATGAAAGTATGGGAGAAGCCCATATATAATACCAAAAAATGACGAAATATACTTACTCAGGGGGGCCAGCCCAGTGGCACAGCGGTTAAGTTCACACGTTCCACTTCAGTGGCCTGGGGTTTGCCGGTTTGGATCCCGGCTGTGGACCTACACACTGCTTATCAAGCTATGCTGTCACAGGCATCCCACACATAAAGTAGAGGAAGGTGGGTGCAGGTGTTAGCTCGGGGCCAATTTTCCTGAGCAAAAAGAGGAGGATTGGTGGCAGATGTTAGCTCAGGGCTAATCTTCCTCAAAAAATAAAAAAAATATATACTTACTCAGGTACCTCTCTTCTCTGGCTTAAAGGAATACTCTCATGTAGGTGTGTTCTTCACTGTAAGCTTACACATGAGAAAGGTGGTCCTCTCCTCTTCCTTGAAGGCTTCTATGTCTATAAAGCTGTACCTTAATCCTGTAAGAAAACCCCTACCATGGTCATGATGGCATACATAAATAGTTCTGCAGACAGTTATACAAAATGAAAGAGTAAACATTTCTTTCCATTATTTTTTTTAATTTTTGCCAAATAAGATGCAACAATAATAATCATAACAACATTCACTAAAATTTACTGCAGACTTATGGACCACATCCTGTATTAGATGTTTTGTATAGATCATCTCATTTAATCCTCAGCAGAGCCTGTGAGATGGTAGAGGTAATTATTCCTATTTTACACATGAGGAAACTGAGACTTAAAGACGTTAAGTCAACTTGCACAAGGTCCCAGAACCAAGAACTAAATAGCACAAGTGAGTTTGAACTCAGATTTTTCTAACCTCAAGGTCTATGTTCTTTTCCAACATTTGTCCTGTGTCTTGACTTGCCCTCACAACTAGTCTCATGATGTTACTGAGTCCTGGAATCCTCAGATGCTTCCCTGACTACGATAAGAGCTGAATAGTCTGAGGGGTTTACGTGCAAATAACTCTCCTTTCTGGAACATTTCTCTCAGGTATTTCCAGATCTTTCCTTCCACTACTCAGCCTTACTTTGATATATATTTCACATTAAATACTTCCATTTATAATTTCTATGGCAAATCTGAAAGTATTTTTTTTAATAAAGCTTTATGTGGGGAGAGGAAGCAATTAGTTGTGGGGCTTTATTTTTGGAGGATGAGATGGGTGAGGATGGGGTATGGGGAGAAATTGCTTTCTGCAGTGTCAGATGAATGAGTTATAGGAAATGATGGCTCAGCCGGCAGCTTGGTGCTTGCCAGTGAGTCAGCAGCAATTCCATCCTCGGGCTCAATGCTGGAATCACAGCTGTGAGAGACACTCTTCCTGGTGAGGGCCCCTCCCTACCCTGCTGTCTGGGGCATTGAGGCTCGGCCCACATAACATGAACCATTTGGTTACCTGTCCTGGTGGAAGAAGATTCACAGAACTATCTTCTTGTTTTCATGCAGATATTTCTAAGTTTCTTCGGGATTGATTAGTGTTTCTGTTTTTTTCCTCCTGATACCCAGCAGAAACATCCAGTGACTTTCCATCCAGAGGATGAATGAAGTTTGGGATTGATAGCATGACAGAGTTTAGTTCTTAGGGCAACATTTCGTACTTTTATACTACTTGGTCTTTCGAGGGTCTTCATATATGACAAAACTTTGTATGTGGAAAAGCAAGACAAGAAGACACTGCTTCAGAAGAAGTGGTAGATTGAAAGATGTCATCTTGTCATGATTGAAGATATGTGTATGTGGCAAGAAGACGAGAACCAAATCATCATGGTTGTTGGGTTGGGATGGTGGGATTATTGGTGATTGCTTTTTACTTTCTTTTTCAGCTTTGATAATTAGGTTCAAGTTGTGAAATTTATTCTAAAAATAATTCTTTAGTATTATTTTAGTAAACCAGCCATCCATTTGTGAAAAAATATGGGCCAAATAGCTTTAATATTTCCGGACATCTTTTTCCCAGACTCTGCTCACTCTTAAGGTCAACTTGGTCATATGCGTGGTATCCAATAGGAAATGGGTGAGGAGGACTACCTTTGCTTGGACGCTGCATGTACCAGGCATTTAATTCTTCTTCACCCTGTGGAGAGGGTGGTATTATCCACATATTGTAGATAAAGAAACTAATAGAGAGATTAAAGAACCTTTCCCGGGTCAGTCAGCTAGTAATGGCGTTCCATCCAAGCCCAAGTCAGACTGCAGGCAAAGTCCACTCTCTTTCAACTCCAAAATGGTGCTGCCCCAGATCCCTCTAACTTACTGCTGCATTAACCATCCTTTAAGAAAAATTGTATTGCAATATTATTCTCTGTTTTTGCAAAACTAGAATTCTAAAACTCACATATGCTTGGCTTCTACTTTAGTTAGAAAGAGAAATATTGGGGCATTGCATAGCGTACATGTGTGTCTGTGCATTTGACATTAAGAAGATAAAAAAGGCGTAGTAAGTACCTGGCTGAGTAGTTGGACTCCCCCAGAATTTGAAGTGATTATCATCATCTCCCTAAAATTCTTAGATATATGAGACTGAGAATAAGGCTTTATGTTTTACTATTCAGTACAGTAGCTGTAAGTGACAGTTTTGGTCGAGGAAGGGGTTGGTATTGTTGCAAAGTGGAGCATTTACAGTTTTACAAAAGTAACCATCCCATTGGCCCAGTAAGACCCTAATTTATTTTTTAAATAAATGAATAACGTTTAAAGATTTTTAAGATTTTTTGACAGTTAACATTATACAATTAATGCCATAAGCTTTGTTGAGATATTGACATACAATATACTGCACATATATAAATATACAATTTGATAAAATTTAACAAACACATACACCTGTGAAACATCACTTCAATAAAGATAATGAATATATCTATTACCCCAAAAAGATTTTTTGTAATGCTATATTTTTGCAGGAAAAAAAAATCACCTAATTTGATGAAAAGAGCCTGGATGGGGACTCAGGCAATTTGGGTCTGGACTCTGATCGTGCCCTAAATAGCTCCATGAAATTCATTGAGTCCCTTAATTTTTCCAGCCCTTAGTTTTCTCATCTGGAAAATGAGCGGGTTGGACTAGATTGTCCCTAAGGCCCCCTATGGCTCTAAAATTCAATAAAGCAAAGAGGACAGGCATACGTAGGGTATTGGTTTGTGTCCAGACGGTTTTATGTAAAAACGTAGACTTCCTCAGTGGTCTGGTGTCAGCTGTGCCACTTCATCCGTGCCTTGCTTTGCTTGATTGATTGATCATGAAGTCATTTCATTTTCTTTAATGCCTTTTCACCCTGATTCAAGGTCATTTATGTCATTGCTTCCATCTTGGTCTTAGTAAGCTTATAGAACTGTTCTACTTAAGAATTTAGGGCTAAGGCTTGAGAAATGCTGGGAATTTGCCAATGCCCTAAGCAAAGATATGATGAGGGCGACAGGACCATCAGCTCCCTGCATATTTGCAAGGCAGCTTGGCATTTTGTGGAGGGCAGAGACAAGTTATACTGGATATATTTCAGGTCTGGGGGAGGGGAAGCAGATTGGAGTTTAATTAAAATTCAAATCCCCACTTTGCCCATCTTCTTGCCAAGTTAGCAGCCAGCATTTCTGTTTGTGTTCTGGTGATTTTGCTGTGATGACATACACAGTTACCTCAATAACTCTTGCAGATTTGCCTAAAACTTCAAAATGCTCACGGGATGCTATAATCAGGCCTGGCACGCTGCCATCTTCACCTGTGTTTTCAGAGATCCCTCCTGCATTACTGCCAGGGTTCCTGGTGGGAAGGGGACGTTGGGAAGAGCTAGTGGTGAAAATTGAGCTGATTGCAAATGAGAAAAGTTTCGTCACAGTACAGAGATCTTTCCCCACTGCTTCTGTTTTCCCAGGTAGCTAAGCGGGATTTCTGAGAACGGGCTGCTCTGACTTCATCTTAGCCCACCATGAGGTTCTTCCTGCTTTGTGCCTACATGCTGCTCCTGATGATTTCCCAGTTGAGGGCAGTCAGCTTCCCCGAAGACGATGAACCCCTTAATACTGTTGACTATCACTGTAAGTAATCTAAAGAACATTCTCCTTTTCTAAGAAGGAAGCCTTTCTGGTTTTGATTTAAAAGTGTATTCATTTTTAGAAAGAAAGAGAGTTAGTTTTCTATGTCTTAAAAATGTTTTGCATATTAATTTACCCATAATCATTTCTAGTGTTTGGAGAAAATGGGACAGGTTTGTGGGGTGCTTTTCTAAAGCAACTCATGTATAGTTTATATATTTTCAGTTAAAAGAAAAAGACCATTTGCTGACATTCACCATCTTTTATTCATATATATTCAAGACCTTAAAAGAGGAATTTAGTTAAAACCCCTCTACAACTAGTATATACAGCTAATCAATGCTGTATATTGATTCTTCAGCTCCATAATCCTGACTGATGGTTTAGCCCATTTTTACTTGCAGATTCAAGGCAATATCCGGTTTTTAGAGGACGCCCTTCAGGCAATGAGTCACAGCACAGGCTGGACTTTCAGCTGATGTTGAAAATTCGAGACACACTTTATATTGCTGGCAGGTAATTTTCCTCTCGTTGGTTTATTAGATTAAAATTCGCTTCTCTGGGGTGCTTGCATTAATGTGTCTAGTTCATGAAAAACTAATATGCGATTGTGATCAAAAATTGCAAGTAGCCAAAAATATTCACCGAGAAGAGTCAGTGTTGTGTACCAGGAACGAAACACCGAGCTAAAGCCTTCAGCGGTGCTATTTTATTACTGCCATCAAGAAATCATACACCATTCTTTGTTCCTAAAACAGCAGGGGAAAAAAAAAAATCTTTCTTTTTTAACTTGGAATTATTCAAGCAAATATTAGAAGTATGTCTGTGCTAATACCAAGTAGCAGTTTGACCCACGCCTGAAGAGAAGAGCTTTCTTTCTCCCTAACCACCGTGATACATAAAGGCATCTCACTAATGAAAAAGTACTCTTTGTTGACTTTGTTGGAGACAGAGAAAATCCAAATGATCTCCAAAACACAATAAAGGCAAATCTGTAAAAATAAAATAAGAAGCAGCTTAACATTTTTATGCATTCACATAATATGACTTACTGCCTTGTTTCCAACAGGGATCAAGTTTATACAGTAAATTTAAATGAAATCCCCAAAACAGAAGTCATACCAAGCAAGGTGAGCAAGTGTAGTTGGCAAAGTTATTTGCATTCCTTCAGAACTTGAATAATTTTCCCCCTCCACTCCAAAAAGTTTCACAGTTAAAAATGGAACTTTGGTTTTGCTTGATTAATACAGAAACTGACATGGCGATCAAGACAACAGGATCGAGAAAACTGTGCCATGAAAGGCAAGCATAAAGTAAGTGGAACAGTCAAGTGCCTGCTAGATGTAGTCTTTATGTGGGCTTGATCCCACAGTGCCAGCATATGGGATGTCTAATATTAATGTGATTATTACTTTCTTTAGGATGAATGCCACAACTTTATTAAAGTATTTGTTCCGAGAAACGATGAGATGGTTTTTGTTTGTGGTACCAATGCGTTTAATCCCATGTGTAGATACTATAGGGTAAGTATATTTCATGTGATGTGCGCTTTTTTAAATCAACTTTTCTTCCTTCACTAGTATGTTGTTACAGCTGAATCTTTTCCACTATAACCCAGTAATTTGTTTTATATCTAATGCTATGGAAGAATAAAGACAGAATTCTTCAAATAGAATTTCAGTACAAATAAAGCAGTATTGCCTTCAAACAGGTACATTGAACAGATGTGACACCAGCTATTTATTTTTCTTTTGTAGTTGAATACCTTAGAGTATGATGGGGAAGAAATTAGTGGCCTGGCAAGATGCCCATTTGATGCCAGACAAACCAATGTTGCCCTTTTTGCTGGTAAGCTCCTTTGGTGTAATGAATATAAGTGATTAATGACATTGAAGGTGCAGAAGGAAATTAAAAGAAGGAAAAAAAGCTCATAACTAGGATAGCAACCTTGATATAGGTATTTCAAAGACTGAAAGCTATGAACAAATTTCCAAAAAAGAGGAATTGAAAATGAGCATAAGTATTCTGACACTTGGCTCTGTTATTAACTATGCCAGTGACCCTGATTAAGTTGCTTCACTTTTTGATGCTTAGCTCCCTCATCTGTAAAATTAGGTAATACCATGGGCCAACCTGTCATAGATTGATTATGAGTATCAGGTTTAGATTTATTTGTATATTTAGTGATAACATAGATGAAAGCACTCCAGAGGATATAACACACTGTACAGGAGAACACACTACAGGATAATTACCGTTATTTTACCCAAATTATAACTTCGGTTTCAGATGGGAAGCTGTATTCTGCCACAGTGGCTGACTTCCTGGCCAGTGATGCTGTTATTTATCGAAGCATGGGCGATGGATCTGCCCTTCGTACAATAAAATATGATTCCAAATGGATAAAAGGTACCATTGAAGAGCTGTGTTGTGGGATTGCCAAGGGTCGTGGGATGGCCTAGTACGAACAGGAGCCATGGGCCTCAGGAGGTTCAGAGCATGACCTTATATTGTTTATTTAGAGCAAGTACAAGCTGCTTTGGTTGTGAACAGGAGCACTGATGGGGAATGAAGAGACCAGTAGCCATGTCAGGAAAGTAGATCCATCCAGGATTTTATCCTAGGTGGCCTCAAAAACAGAGAGCCCATGTCTGTGTGCAAATTTGCTTAACTCTAAGTGCACATCATAGTCCTTGCTCACTCCCATCTACCCATCCTGGAAAGTTAACAGTGAAAATCAATTAGTTCATATCTGCAGAGTCGTTTTGTTCTTTGGAGTCTAGAAATCAAGATTTTTTATTCTCAACATTAAGAGGTTTTCTTCCCTAGTTAAATAGGTTAATGAATAAATCTGTTGAAACAAAGACCTTTGCTGTAGTTCAGTTCCCTGTAGGCTTTTTACAGTCCATTAGCTGACATTAAAGACTCTGGGTTCCCTGAAGCTTCAACATACCCATATTGGGACTCCTCAAACTCATATCAGAGTTCTCATTGGCTGGATGTAGCTGTGCCACGTCTGTCAGTCATGCCTAGTTGTTGAGGTCTTATGCTAATTTGAATTATCCTTTGGGAACCAGTTTGTTTTTCATTTTTCTTTCAGAGCCACACTTTCTTCATGCCATAGAATATGGAAACTATGTCTATTTCTTCTTTCGAGAAATTGCTGTAGAGCACAATAATTTGGGCAAGGCAAGTACATGCGCTTGACTTGTATTGTGGACTTGTACTGCATGGAATTGAGCCTAGGGAATTTGACAGTTATGGTCTTTACATGGTTTCTGGCACTCGATGCATTTAGGGCCAAGTGCAGAGAGGTGAGTTGCTCATCATGAGAATAATTGCTGGAAAACACCTGAACAATGGCCGGAGTGGGAACGGCAGCCTTGGGCCTTGGGAAGTTTCATCTTTTTCTGTCACTGCAGAGAGTGCTCTCCAGGCACCCTTGAGCTATGGATGCTTCTTTAACTCTTTAGAAATCTATTGATAGTTTTTTCTTTCTCAGCATCAAAAGGCAAGATGGCAAGTGTGGGTCCCTGTTCAATGTTGAGTAAAAGCCCATATAATTTTAAAGTATTGCTACCCTTCTATGCCAAGTTTGAGGATGGCAGATTTCATTAACCATATGAGAAGCAAAGTGGGAAGATAAAGGGCAGGAATGGTTTCCATTCAGCCAGGCAGCTTGATAGCTCACTTCTTGGGGCGCTTGTTTGGCAGAACAGGCAAATGACCCTTTTTCCTCACAGGTAAATCTAGTTTACGTTCTTACCTCTAGAGAGAAGGCCGCTAGATTCTTTTGAACCAGATCTATCCTTAGCAATTTCTGTCCCTCCCTTAAATAGCAGCTTTCGCTTTCCATTCCTCCTCCATGCTCATAACCCTAGTTTGAGCTTTGTGATTTGCTTTGTCCCTTGGGCAGGCTGTATATTCCCGTGTGGCCCGCATATGTAAAAATGACATGGGTGGCTCCCAGCGGGTCCTGGAGAAACACTGGACTTCATTTCTGAAGGCTCGACTTAACTGTTCTGTCCCCGGAGATTCGTTTTTCTACTTTGATGTCCTGCAGTCCATTACAGACATAATACAAATCAATGGCATCCCCACTGTGGTGGGGGTGTTCACCACCCAGCTCAACAGGTGAGAACAGATCCCCGGCCCTTCCAAAGATGCTCTGTGCCAGCTTGTGGGAACCGAGAGTGGCCCATAGTCGCCTGTTGATTTTCCTGATGGTTTTCCCCTTTTTCAGCATTCCTGGTTCTGCAGTCTGTGCATTTAGCATGGATGACATTGAAAAAGTATTCAAAGGACGGTTTAAAGAACAGAAAACTCCGGATTCTGTGTGGACGGCAGTCCCTGAAGACAAAGTACCAAAGCCAAGGTAAAGAAATGAGACAAAAAGGGTTTTTGTCTTTAACAAAACCCTGTGGTCACTGGAGCAGCATCCTCAGCTAGCAGCTGGGCCAGCTTCCCATGCCAGGAGGGGCCTGTGCACCGCTGCAGACAGGAAGTCAGTAAACATAAGCCTGTGAGTGGGAGTGGGGAGAGCCCACAGGATCCAGGGAAATAGCATTGCTCCCCCGGGTTTTGCTCACTCCTTTCTCTCTTGACCTCTTCTTTCAGAATGGACATTTATTCCTTAGATAGAATTTATAAGGGGAAAAAACCACCTTTCCTTTCAGGCCTGGGTGTTGTGCAAAGCATGGCCTCGCTGAAGCATATAAAACCTCCATCGATTTCCCGGATGAAACCCTGTCCTTCATCAAGTCCCACCCCCTGATGGACTCCGCCGTCCCACCCATTGCCGACGAGCCCTGGTTCACAAAGACTCGGATCAGGTAAGTGTGCAGAAACAGCACCCACTCCCATTCAGCAACCTCTCTTCCCGTTGGCCTCCCCTTCTGACCTGGCCCACCTCCTCTGGCAGGTACAGACTGACGGCCATCGCTGTCGACCATTCTGCTGGACCCTACCAGAACTACACAGTCATCTTTGTTGGCTCAGAAGCTGGCGTGGTACTTAAAGTTTTGGCAAAGACCAGTCCTTTCTCTTTGAATGACAGCGTGTTACTGGAAGAGATTGAAGCATACAACCATGCAAAGTAGGTATATTTTATGAGCACACTCCTCAGCACTGCTCAGAAATTTCCGGCGTGTGTTTCGTCTAGTCATTTCCTTCCAGCCTTGTAAATTAGCAATGGTTTGGCATATTAGTCTTTTGGGTTGGTTTTTTTTTTGCTCACCAAAATACATCCTGGGTTTGTTGTTTTCCTGAGTCCACTAGGATTGGAGGGTGGGCATTTGGTAAGTTTAAAAATAATTCAGCCTTTGGTTTTTACCTGTGGAAAATGAGAACATTTTAGCACCACCCTTCTTACCTTGCAGGTGCATCTGACAGTTGGTTGCAAGCACACACGCATACACACAAACAGAATACAATTCTTCTAACCACTGATATAAAAGATTTTCTGGACTATTGAAACAAATGAGAAATAGGCAAGAGAAATGGAGCAAAGCAACTAAGGAGAGATGCGGAAACATCTAGCACAGGAAGATTTAAATGCATTAAAACATCCTTTTTCTTCCCTATAGTCTAACATGGTCTTCATGAATGCAATTCCCTTCAACCATGAGAACAGGAAAATAACCTTAAAAAAACCCTTTGTCCAACCTGAAGTTTAACCAACCATGCAGAGCAGTAGAAGAAGCAGCACATAATTATTACTTGCCAAACTATGTACTTGCCTGGTTTCCTACGGAGAATATTCCTTAAGACCTCCCCAGCTCTCAGTAATTGCAAAAACCAAACCCCACTTGCCTTGTACAGTTCATGTAGCTTTTGTCTTACTAAACACATGGCTTTGAAATGTATCCCGCGCTATAGGTGTAATGCTGAGAATGAGGAGGACAGAAAGGTCATCTCATTACAGTTGGATAAAGATCATCATGCTTTATATGTGGCATTCTCCAGCTGCGTTATTCGCATCCCCCTCAGTCGCTGTGAGCGTTATGGATCATGTAAAAAGTAAGCTGATGTTTTTTTACTTACCTGGGTCTTGCAGCATCAAGATCTTTGATGACGAGAAAATCCAAGTTACGTTCTGTTTGGTTTTCTGCAGATCTTGTATTGCATCTCGGGACCCGTACTGTGGCTGGTTAAGCCAGGGCATCTGTGGCAGAGTGACCCCAGGGATGCTGTAAGTATACTTTGTCACATTCGCCAAGATCTTCTCCAAATCTGCTTCTATCTTCTCCAGGGTCTCTAAAGCTAGAAATCTTAGAAAACTTCCAACAACACTACTTTTCCTTTTTTTTTCTTTCTTTTTCTTTCTTTTTTTTTTTTTTTTTTTTGGTGTGGAAGAAGTAAAAGAAAGAAAATCTGGAGATATTAGAGGAAAGGGAGGTTGTAGTTGGTATAATACTTAAGGGAAACAGATGAAGAGGAAAATCAATTCTTTTCTTCTCTCTTAAACATTCTACTTACCAAATGTTTAATAGAATACTCATTTTAGCCAGCTAGGTTGAAATGTCCATCTTTTCTCTCTGCCTATTCTTACTAATCGATCTGTGTTCTTGATTCTGCTCTGGTTGTCACTTGTGTTCCTATGAAGGCTGTTAACCGAAGACTTCTTTGCTTTCCATAACCACAGCGTTGGAGGATATGAACAGGACACAGAATATGGTTACACGGCCCATCTAGGGGACTGCCATGGTAAGACCCAGGCTTCCCTTCCTTCCTGGCACTTCTTTTTGACCACATTTGCACGTGAACATTATTTTACAATCAGCCTTTTAATGACTCAGGACACATACCACCTAGCATTTAACTTAAACTTCGCAAAAGCTGAGCTGTTTGGTCATGGGGATACGGTAGAGAAGAATCTTACTTTTGTTTTTTCCTTCACCATTTACAATTTTGTAGGAAAGCTAGAGAAAGGTAGTCTAACCAGGAGGTTAATCTTTTAATTTATAGTCTTTTCTTTGGACTTTTTTAGTTAATTGGAATTCATAAATTTTTGCTTTCTTTTGGTTACTTTTTACTGATTACTTGTTCCTTTAATTCTTTTAGAAATTTTGCCTACTTCAACTACACCAGATTACAAAATATTTGGCGGTCCAACATCTGGTTAGTTTTTTTTAATTTTTTTGAATTAACGACCTTTTCTTTCCTTCAGTTCAGCATTTTCAGCCCCTTCTCCCCTCCTTTTGCGCAGTTTGGCAGCCCTTCATTTTTCCGCTTCGACTCATAATCCCACCGATGGCACCCAAAGACTTTTTCTGACTCAGCACTTCACCCCTGTGTAGCATGTTAACAGTCCATCATTGACCGAGGCACATCCTTTAAGAAAAATCAAACGGATTAACATAGGCTGCATTCCAGCTGCACGCACGTCACCCAAGCTTTCTTCTCTCTCACCCCTGTGCATCGTGAATGTTCCCTCTGGCCATCTATATTTAATGGATGGCAGAATTTCATTATTTTCCCCTTCTCTCCTCACCTTTCCTAAGACCTAGTCAACAAATACACATTTCCCCAAAATGTGTATTTATAAACTTTGGAGATCTTTTTTGAATGGTTTGCGGTAATCCCGGGAATCTTTGAATGCTGTGGTCTCAGTGGTGCACAAAGGGCTTCCATTGAATGAAGCTGGTTCTGATGTATTAAGTTGTTCAATGACTCTCCATACCCCTCTGTCTGTATCTGTCTTGGAGTCTTCGTCTGTGACCGTTGCACCAGTCTGAATTGGGGTCTCTGGAGTTTTAACCTAAAATCATATGCTTACATCTTGAGGGAAAATCTCCTTGGTGGAAATCAGTCATAGACAAGCTAAGAGGCTAAGTTAGTCCCCCCCCAGCTACTGCTGCTTCTAAAACTCACCAGCAGTTTCTTTCCTCAGGGGGGAGAAAAGGATGGCAGATCTTCTGTATCAGAGCATCTTTATTCAGCTTGTAAATGCCATTTCTTTTGCATGAGTTGCTGCTAACTCTCTGGAAGAAACTCCCCAGGCATTTTGGAAGGCACGGGCGAGGTTCGTCCTTGCCTCAGTGCTTCACCACGGACGCCGGACCCTCACTGCAGTCAGTAATCTACTGACGGACGGGAGGTCCGTGAGGAAGCCTGACAACCTGCTTGATCAAGTCCAAAATCAAGTGTTCACACGGACTTACCCAGGTGTTTTCCCAGCAAGTTACCCTGTAGGTTCCCCAGGGAAGGATGTACAGTTTCCAACCATCTATGAAAATGCTTTTAAAAATATACACAAAAAGAAACGAAATGATGTTGTCTCACAAAAGGATGAGAAAATAGCATTTCATCTTTGGGGTTTGTATTACCTTTTCCACGAGTGTCATTAATTATCACGGGGGCTTTGGCAGCAGTGTTTTGAGTATCTTTAATTTTGAAGTCTGCTTCATATGTCTTTACTGTTAGTTTTTAGTTTTTAGTTTTCCCTCACGAGAAAGGGATTTGGTGTAGTCTCCTCGGATGTGTTTTTATGAAATCCTAGAACAGGCTTTCTCATAAAATTTACTTAAACTTGACTTAAAAATGCAACAGACCAGTCAGAAAAATCTGCTGACACTACCCACGTTAATAAAAATCTGTTTGCCACCACAGACATGGAGGTATCTTCATCTTCTGTTACCACAATGGCAAGTATCCCAGAAATTACACCTAAAGTGATTGATACCTGGAGACCTAAACTGACGAGCTCCCGGAAATTTGTAGTTCAAGATGACCCAAACACTTCTGATTTTACTGATCCTTTATCAGGTATCCCAAAGGGTAAGGCCCACCAGGGAATTCATCTCTCACTGAGTGGAAACCTGATTCCTACTATCGCTGAGGAGCATATGGACTTAGGGTGCTCCGCAGGTGAACAGAAACAGACCTGCTGCTGTTGTTACCGCCTCCGCCGGCTGCAGTCACTTCGATTTTCTGTGGTTATGTGGAGTGCATTCCTTAACAGATGGAAGTGGTAGAAACCCTGTTAAAGAAAGGGTTGGTGAAACAGCCACTCAGACAATCTAATCTGTGTTGGTTTCTATCTGAAAAAGCTGAGAGTCTGCTCAGTATCAGAGAATTTCCAGGGTCACCCCAGCAACATCAAAAAGTAAAACTCAGGGGCCGGCCCCATGGCGTGATGGTGAAGTCTGGCACACTCTGCTTCGGCTGTCCTGCTCCGCTAATTTGGATCCCAAGTGCAGGCCTACACCTCTCGTCAAGCCATGCTGTGGCAGCATCCCACATACAAAACAGAGGAAGATTGGCACAGATGTTAGCTCAGGGCTAATCTTCCTCAAGCAAAAAAGAAAAAAAAAAAAGGAAGATGGGCAACAGATGTTAGCTCAGAGTCAATCCTCTTCACCAGAAAAACCAAACTCATTAACTGCAAATATCCTGATATCAGATGTTTTGTCTAGGAGGCTTTCACAGACTTTTGTTGAGTTGCAATTCCATGTGCAATATGAAAGGAGATGTGGGGTGCTAAGTTGTGTGAATGCCACAAGCAATAAAACATAACAGCATGTTTGTCCATAACTGTCATTTTCAGCCCATTAGAGAAGCAGTTATAAAACTGCTACCTGGTGAGTTAGCTTATTAGATATGTTACTCTGGAAAAATCTATTCTTTAGCACTGTCGAAACTATGGTATCAGGTTTCCAATCAGTTTTTATTGCAGAGCATTGTCATTTATGGTTTACATCTGTTGATTTTGGTTTTATATGTTTTCATGGTAAACAGTTTTATAATCACTCTTTCTGCTTTGTTTTTTTTTTTAGTAATACCATTTCTTTCTACCTTTCTTTCTTTGTCTTTCATGATGCCACTGAATTCCATAACCCCAAACACTGATTAAAAACGACTAATGTTCAAAGGCCTTAGTACTAATCTAAAGCAACAGAATCTTTAAAATCACTCTGACTTACCTTATTCTGGGATAGCTGTGTTTATAGCATGTAACAGACTTGGATACCTCTGAAACTAACATTTCTTTGATTGACTGTTAGATGTCTGTGGTTGCATTAAAAATCCCAATAATTACAAACTAATTTGCTCTTCTTCTAGTCTAATTTAAATATTTCTTAAATATCTCAAGATAATGGGATGACATTACTTAACTAATACATAGTATATTTCCTTAGACTGTCTGGATTTCTTTCATAGGAGGCAATTCAAGAGTGCTTCACCCCAAGATGGAATGAAAATAAAAAAATCAAAGCAAACATGAAAGTCTATATTCGTAGCTAACAGTGACCAAGCAGATGCTTTTAATTTGTGAACAAATTATGTGTTTTTATTCTAGTTAAGATAGCATAATTGTATTAGCATAATTATTTTAGCATAATATATATTTATGCCAATTCATACATTTCCCTAATCCCAGCAGCTGTCCTTTAATCCCAATTTATGAATTAGGAAAAAATCATGAGACAAAGCATTTCATGAGTTTAAAGTTGGCCATTTAGAAAATATACACTTTCTAACTCTAATTTTCAGATAGAAACTCTTAAAATTTCAAATAGTTGACTATTCAAATATTCAGCTATTTAAGAGGGATTGGAGAATAGAAGACAGACAGACACAGATCAATGAAAGATTAGAGTTATCCTGGCATTTGCAGCAATCATATATGTCTCTGGGGGTCCTATTGTGATTAAAGAAAAATCTATATCTGGAATTTTAGAGTCTACCTGACCCTCCAAGCTAAGCATATGGACCATGTTCAGGTAGTGCTGGCTTATATTGTCTCAAAGAAGTACCTCACTCAGACTTTTCCTGTGCATCTATTGCAGGTGTACGATGGGAAGTCCAGTCTGGAGAGTCCAACCAGATGGTCCACATGAATGTCCTCATCACCTGTGTCTTTGCCGCTTTTGTTTTGGGTGCATTCATTGCAGGTGTGGCAGTATACTGCTATCGTGACATGTTTGTTCGGAAAAACAGAAAGATCCATAAAGATGCAGAATCTGCCCAGTCGTGCACAGATTCCAGTGGCAGTTTTGCCAAACTGAATGGTCTCTTTGACAGCCCGGTCAAGGAATATCAGCAGAATATCGATTCTCCCAAATTGTATAGTAACCTGCTGACCAGTAGGAAAGAGCTGCCACCCAATGGAGATACTAAATCCATGGTAATGGACCATCGAGGCCAACCTCCTGAGCTGGCTGCTCTCCCCACACCTGAGTCTACACCTGTGCTTCACCAGAAGACTCTGCAGGCCATGAAGAGCCACTCAGACAAGGCTCACGGCCATGGAGCTTCAAGGAAAGAAACTCCCCAGTTTTTTCCCTCTAGTCCTCCACCACATTCCCCATTAAGTCATGGGCATATCCCCAGTGCCATTGTTCTTCCTAATGCTACCCATGACTACAACACATCTTTCTCAAACTCCAATGCTCACAAAGCTGAGAAGAAGCTACAAAACATTGACCACTCTCTTACAAAATCATCCAGTAAAAGAGATCACCGGCGTTCTGTCGATTCCAGAAACACCCTCAATGATCTCCTGAAGCATCTAAATGACCCAAATAGTAACCCCAAAGCCATCATGGGAGATATCCAAATGGCCCACCAGACCCTCATGCTGGATCCTATGGGACCTATGTCAGAGGTCCCACCCAAGGTCCCTAACCGGGAGGCATCACTATACTCTCCTCCTTCAACTCTCCCCAGAAATAGCCCAACCAAGCGAGTGGACGTCCCCACCACTCCTGGAGTCCCAATGACTTCTCTGGAAAGACAACGGGGATATCACAAAAATTCCTCCCAGAGGCACTCCATATCCGCTATGCCTAAAAACTTAAATTCACCAAATGGTGTTTTGTTATCTAGACAGCCTAGTATGAACCGTGGAGGGTACATGCCCACCCCAACAGGGGCGAAGGTGGACTACATTCAGGGAACACCAGTGAGTGTTCATCTGCAGCCTTCTCTCTCCAGACAGAGCAGCTACACCAGTAATGGCACCCTTCCTAGGACGGGACTAAAGAGGACACCGTCTTTAAAACCTGATGTGCCACCAAAGCCTTCATTTGTTCCTCAAACCACATCTGTCAGACCACTGAACAAATACACTTACTAGGCCTCAAGTGTGCTATTCCCCATGTGGCTTTATCCTGTCCTTGTTGTTGAGAGGATGATGTTGTAAGGGTACCTTAAGACAAGAGACTCGCTTGTATTTTAAGAGAACCAAGTGGCCAAAGAAACTCTTTCTAACTTTGGCAACAGAACTTGCCACATGTAGCTACTGCAGCAAGGCTTCTGTGTACTTGTCTGAAACAAAGGAAGGTGCTGGTCATTCCATTTCTTTTGTTTGAAGCTAAAGTGATGTGTAGCTCCAAGGGGCTACCTTACCAGTTTAAAGAGCTGATACAGTACTCAGAATAATCTGTGAGCAAATACTTGAAAATGGGTTCAACTTAGACTGCCATTATGTGTGGTCTTCCCATTAAATGTGAACATTTTAATATGTATGCATTCACCTTGCCTCTTGCACAAATGTCAAAAAACAATGGTAATGTCTCAAAGAAATGAACTTGTAGATTACCAAACAATTTGCTAAAACTTCAGTCTTTGACCCAAACTGTAGCATTTTTTTCATGTGTGGCATTTTTTTCACGCCACCAATGATCTGTGTTGTGTGTGTGTGTGCACGTGTGCGTGGGTGCGTGCGTGTGTGTTCTGTACCCACTAGGATCTGTTTAGGTGCCCTTTGCATCTTCTTGTGCTATGGAGTTGTTTACATTGAGCATGACTGAACAAGAGACCATAACTTCTTCCTACAGCAGTCCATTGGGTTCAGCTTTGAGAAAGAAAGAAAATCGAGGCTGATTTGACCGTCAGAATGATTAACTTGACTTACGTGGTACCCAATGCCAGAATGTAAAAGTTCTAAGTAATTTTGTGCTGCTATTCATTAAAACTTCTATTACAGTCTTGCCAGCTTCAGGAGATCGAGATGTTAAGAGGTATCTTTGATTAATCCACCAGTATTCGGTAGTAAAATTTACCTGTCCACTGTGAATCCAAGCCTGAATCACTCTATTTAACCTTGGACACATTAATAAGGTTTTCTTTTGATTGTGTTTACTTTCTCCTTTAACTCCTCCTACCCCCAAGATAAAAAAATGAAATAAGACAGAAGACAAAAGAAGGAGACGTGGAAGGAATTGTAATTGGCTTAACAGAAACAGTCTTTGAAAGCCTAACAGTGGTGCAATCATGTTGTCTATGTCGTGTTTTGTGAGAATTCTCTCCTAAGTCATGCAGGTAATGACAATATACTGTAAATATTACATGTGCGTTTACCTGGATCTGTGCATTTTGTGCCTTATTCATGAGAATGATAGAAGTACTAAAATATGTCAAGTGTTTTCAGTATAGCACATCATTTACTGAGTGCCAGTTGTAAATGTTTTTCAACCAGCACCTGAAAAGACTTTTAAAAACTCATAAAACCAACCTAGAACAATTAATCGTAAAACAATCCACCCAAATAGCAGCATTACACCCTTTGCCATGGTAAACATTCCACTCCTGCTTTCCTAAGGATGAAACAGTGATAATGTGAAGTCAAATGAGGTTTCCCGGGCAAGGTGACACCTGTGGAAATCATATAGAGTCATTTATTCGTAGTTTTGCAAAAGCCTCTTACAGTTGATGATGTGCAAACCCAACGACTGTTTCAGTTAATATGCTGCACACCACACCATGGTTTATTGAACCTAATCTAGAAAGTATCAAGGCAGAGGAATACTCCTGACTTAGTCAGACAAATAAGTTCAACTGATTTCTTGTGACAACGCTGATGATATATATTACTTGGGGGAGGATGGGGTGCAGAAGACCAGAGCATTTTTATAGAGAATGTAGAATACTGATACTGTTACTCTTTTCCTTTGAGAATATTGTTTTATAAAGAACGTGATTCCCTGAGATCTCTGGAAGCTCAAAAGCTAGAACTTCTGTTCTTGAAACACTTCAGCTTTGCAACTAAAATATTACAGATTAATAATAAATTAAACCAACCAACGATAAACAGTACTCAGTTCACCGCCGACAAACGTGTTTGAATTCACCTGACCAATATTAATCCCGGCGTGCGGAACGCGGAACAGTAACTCTATGTGAACCCGGATAACATTTTGTAACATTGTGCTGCCTTGTAGTTTGTAATGTGAGTTCCTATCAGTATTTATGTTGAAATTTCTAACATAAAATGTAGTCTCTATCCTGTTAATTTAATTTTTAAATGCTTTATCCATTTGTGCAAAGGTAAACACAGATTGTATCTTTTTTAACGGTACGGCATAAAAAGTAACCCTCAAGTGAAGTGGCTCTATACTGTTTTATAGAGTACTTTAACATGTATAGAGATCTTGTAAACTTGTATTGTGGATGTGTAAATAATATGTACTTTGGGTTTTTAACACCGCATGTAAAGTCAAAATAAAATATACAAATCATTATATCCTGCCCCTTGATATTGAAGAAGTTTATAACATATCATGTTTTAAAAATATTTTTAAGTCAGTCAACACCGGGAAGAGTTTCTGTTAAAATGTACCAAAATATTCTTATCTGGAATATTTGCTAGTCGGTCTGGTACACCACCATTCTCTTCTTGCAAGGCTGATAGTGATGGGCCGAGCCCCTGAAGAACTGAGAAATGATTCAGAAAACCAGATGAACCGTACTGCATCAATAGTCAAATGCTTCCCGCAAATGTACAGTGGCTCATCTTGTCCACATATCTAGTTCAACAGACATTTTTACAATTCATGATTTGTGTTCCTTCATGAATATTTTAATATCATTTTAGTCTGAAATTATAGCTGGCAAACCAAGTTCCTGTGAACATTTCTTGCCATTTGGTATAGGGTATTTTTCAATTCCATTGTTTTAATTGAATAGAATATATTAAGAGATATCTTCCCCAAATATTGAAATGGAAGGTAAAATTACGATTCCTGTTGGTTCTTCCCTTAGCATGGAATGAGATGGTGGCTTATGTCATTGCCTCTTGTGGATGTTAAGGGTTCACGCCACTTCTGGGATAGACAGTAGGAACATTTGTAGCCATCCCTGTGCTCTTGGTTCTAGGGGCTGCTCCTGGCCGAAGCCCACTTGCATCTCCTCCGTGGACGAGAGCCACACGGCATCTCTGCAGAAGCGGAAGTCGCCATATCCCTGTCTTGGGCCTTGTTCTCTTTCATGTTGTCATCTAGTTAGGGGCGCTGCCTTTCAATGTTAGTTCAGTGGTATCAGGGGTCCTTTTTCATTCCTATCATGGCATCCTCTAGTTTATAGATATGAGAAAGAGTTTGCAGAAATCCTTTCATAAGAGAAAAAGATGAGTAGAAGGCCAATTTGCCCCTTTTTACAGCTACCACCACGACAGCTGTGCAGGCAGGAAGGCAGTGCCAGCAGTCACGGAGCCTGACTTTGGCATTATGAACCCTGCCCCACCATTCATGGAAGTCTGTGTCAGCCTGAACCTCCTTGCACTGCTGGAGAAGAGTGTGGAAGTTGTCTCCCATCTTACTGACTTGCAGAAGTCAATTTGTAATTCTTAGGGTTTGGACAAATATATGATGGAAAAGACAACTAAGGGAAATTTATCTTCGACCTTGTTTCTTCCTGGGCTTCTTGAGCATTGCATTCTCTGCCATTTACATTGTCTGTTTCTATTACATTGGTTTATTATATTTTATAGCCATTATACCAGTTTTCCTGGGTTCAGTGATTTTCTTTTCCTTCTCCCTTTATAGCAGATCATAGCCTTTTTTGATCATGGACATCTTGGATAATTTAATGAATGGTACAGACTAACAGTTGAATCTCATTTTCCTTTTGGGGGGATTTACAGACCCATAAAACCAAGTCTATGAATCCTCAAGATAAATACTTAGACCCCATTTGAAAAAAGTGGGATTAGAGAACTTGAAGCTTGTCATGAGGAGGCCCTTGTAGAGGCACAAAGAAAATGAATTAACCAGGACAGACCACCTGTACTCTGGTTCCAGAAATCCCATTGATTGGCATTTAGGTTACTCTGGGAAATGGCCATTTTGAAACTATGTGAAACACCTGAGATGCTGGTACAGGCTAAGAAAAAAGGGCATCTCCTATGTAAGGTAGTAGGCCTTGCATGGCCTAGGTGCTGGCCAGGTACTAGGAAGACTCACCTTCCTGCCATCTGAAAGAAGTCAACTTTCTCCCCTCCCCTCCCCTCCCCTTCAGCTCATCTCCTTCATCCTTCTCATCAGAGGAAGGCAAAGAACAAGGTGTTCACAGTAGCCTTGGGTCCAGGTGTGGGAGGTGGGTTCTAATCCCGACTCTGCCACTCAACAAGTAACTTTATGGTAACACACCGCTCTCAACTTCATTTTTCTCATTTTTGAAGAGATGCTTCAACATCCATTTCTCTGACACTTCTATAGTATCTGTCAACTCTATAATTCCATTACCTATTTTATGAATGATATGCTTAAATATTACTTTTTCAATAGCCTGATTTATAGGCTTCTTATGGTGTGTGAAGCCTGCTCCCTTTTAGATGTGAGATATATGTGAGATTAGCAATAAATTAAGTCATGATAAACAACACACTTTAAGCCATTTAGCTTGGGTCTATAGTTGAAGTTTACCCTTTTTGCATATATAGCATTCCAAAGACTTAAATCTCTACCAGTGTTGCATTCTTTATTAAGTAGACGTGATACCATAAACAAGGAGGAAATGGGCCTGTAATAAAATCAATCCTTAATTCACAGAGGAATTGGGAGGTGAGGGGATGGGGAGCAGTCAAATCTTGGACATTCAGACCATGAATCAACTGGAAGTCACATATAAAGGAAAATAGAATATTTCCAGACCTTGTCCCATAATACAATTCTTTTCAAAATTAGATGTTGAATACTGGTTGATAAATCTCTTTGTAACATGCTCTTTGGTTTATCTCAGCCTCTTAATGCTGCGTTTGGGTGAAGGGAAGTATGAAAATGTGGCATTTGTTACACATGCACTGTTACTTGGGACCATTCTTCCTTTGTGTGAGTTGGACCACCTGATGCTACTGTAAAGATTGACTTGAGGCCAGTTAGACAAGTTGTGAGAGAGAAGATTTGTCAGTGTCAAGCAGACATGTCCAGTGGAACTTTCCGTGCGGGTGGAGATGTTCTATATCCATGCTGTCCAATATGGTAGCCACTAGCATATATAGCTTCTGAGCACTTGAAATGCAGCCAGTGCCACTATATTGGTACAGGTACTGGTCAAAAAGCCACCACTGCTGCTGCCACAGCTGTCAGAGGTCTAGCTGCTGCTCTGAATGCAGCAATTCCAAGGGGTGTTTGACTCTGATTAAAAGATGAGATACACCTTGTACATTTTGTATATCTACCCTCGTGCCTCAGAGAGAGCTGGGCTCATAATTGATCGCCTGATCAATCACAGATCTGGTTTGAGGGATTTTGTTTTTCCTATTTAGAAGCTGTCATGAGCACATCCATTGGTACCTGAGAGAGGCTCAGCACTGGGCTTGGGTGGACTGGCTTCTCTTAGGTTTTCCTGATACTTTTAAGCCCTATTCACTTAATCCTCGACATGCTCTTTATTACAAAGGGATAAAATTTGTCATTCCAATTTTCAAGATAGGGAAATTGAGGTCAGTGGGGCTGTGACAACTATGGAAATGTAGATGACAGCCAACTCACAAATCAGGGCTAATTCACATATTGTCACATTCGTGCCCTGTGCACAAATCAACACCCTCCACGAAAGAGCTGCAAGGGAATATCGGTGTTCAATCAAAAGAGGATGGCCTCTCTCCAGCTCTTCATGTATAATGAGGAGAAGCAAAAAAGACAGAATAATTACAGTATCCAGAGGTACGTGCCAAACATCCAGTGAAAAATGAAACACTCAGTGAGTCAGTCGCATGCTGGGCCATTGCAGTGAACACGCCAAATCAATTATTCGAAAAAAAAAATTCATGGATTGAGTTGACGCGGCATGGGCTGAAAGCAACCAAAGAGGATTTATTCAGAGATGTTAAAAGAAGCTAACCTGACATGTCCACATTGTGCCCATCTAAGTTTCTGGGCCTCCTGCCGCATCTAAATCTATAGACTGTCAGCATCTCAGGGGAGAATTCCCGTTATTTCTTATTTTGGAATTTCTTCATATTGAGCTGGGGTTGCATATTGGGAGTTAAACACAGTTGTAGTTTTTCCACTAGTGGGGGAGCTATAGGAGTCAGACTTTATCTTAAAGGAGAATGTTTCCTGATGGTCTGAGCTTCCTAGGCTTCCCTGGGGCATAGAGGAAGCACACAGAAAATGTCTGTTGAGGGAGCAAATTTGCTGACTTCCCCAGAGTTTGACCCTAAGCCAGGTGACAGGGGCTGGCCAGACATTTGCAACTACTAATGCTAATAAGCATAGTAGAAGCATATACCCCTTCTTAGCATTTGTAAATCAGGTTCCCAAATAAAAGGATTACAGATTTCTTCAAACATTCTGAAAGGTGCATTTCACTGGTTTGGGGGCCAGCTTTAGAAAGTGTAAAAAGGAAAAGAAACTCTTGGAGCACTTTTGCAAACGTGAAAGCCTCAGGTGTTAGTAAGCATTTGGGATTTGAGTCAGGCTTCAAAGTTCAATGATATCTCTGGCTGAGAGACAGGACCATTGGCTGGTCCAGGCAATCTGGATGTTCATTGGTCAATATGTACTTAGAGCAACTCACAAAACTCAAATCAAAACTGAAGAGTCAACCTGAGATGACAGGCTCTCTTCAGGCTGCCCAAGTTAAGACTGCCCTGGGAATAAGTCCATCTGATTTTCAGGACTTACTAAGCTATTGTTTCTAATTACCTATGCAGCTCACCTCCAGAGAGGTAGAAAGAGTTGAACTCTTGATGTTTGCTTAATTTACATATTTATCATAAATTTATTTAACAAAAACAGCAAAATACTAAATTGAATTAAGCAATAGAATTCAAATCATTTTAAATGTAAATATTCACATATAGAAAGGAGTCTAGAAAGAAACATACAAAAATATTAAAAACTGGTTATAATCATTAAAACTATTGCATCATTTTGAAATATGCTTCATTCAAACATATATTTTGGAAAAGTTACTTTAAGTTCTATTCTAAAAGAAAAAAATCCTGGAAACAGTCCCTGACTTTACTTAGTTATCTGGTTTCAAGAAAAGATGAAATCTGTTCACCATTGAAAACAAACTCCCAAAAGGCGTGATTTAGCTGAAAGGGAGATGTCCATGATTATAATTGACCCCGATGTCCTTTGGTTTCTGAAGTGTCTAAATAGAGCATTTCTTTTTTAGCTGGGGATGCTAGAACTGAACTGATGAAATATGGAAATTGTTAAAATACCAAAAGGCAAAAAAGAGGCTTCCAAAGGACAGAACTATGACTGCGGCCAAGTAGCCGGGCAGGGGCTGAGTCC